TATCCCTCTGCCTGGTGGTGTGTGTGCCTATCCCTCTGCCTGGTGGTGTGTGTGCCTATCCCTCTGCCTGGTGGTGTGTGTGCCTATCCCTCTGCCTGGTGGTGTGTGTGCCTATCCCTCTGCCTGGTGGTGTGTGCTTATCCCTGTCCCTGGTTAGTGGTGGCGGTGTGGTGTCTCTCTCTGAGGCCCCTCATAACCGCGGCAGAAGCTGACCGCATATGGTTCTGAAATGTGCTGCCTCACCAGCCATTCCCTTCACCTCATCTCCTTCCTGCCAGATTCTCCCTGTCCCATCATGACCTCGGCTGAATCCCAGGGGGGGCTCTTCATCTCGGGGGGAGGGGAGACGTACCGGAACCCTACAGAGGTGAAGATGAGCCAGATCGTGCTGCCCTGCCACGCCAACCACTGCGGGGAGCTCAGCGCGGGCCAGCTGCTCAAGTGGATGGACTCCACAGCTTGCCTGTCCGGTGAGCGAGGGCCCCGGGCCCCATGGCTTGCCTGTCCGGTGAGCGAGGGCCCCGTGGCCTGCCTGTCTGGGTGAGCGAGGGCCCCAGGCCTTGCGGTCTGCCTGGGCCCCACCAGGGCTGAAGGAGCCACTCCTGGGTGCTGTGAAATACGGCTTAGATTCTCTGGCTGGTCTGGGGCATGGTCATCTCCTTGGTCAAAGCAGAGGTTACTTTGCTGCATTGTTGTGCCAGCTGGATGACTTGGGTTACTGGGTGGGGTCTGGGGGAAAAGCTTTCAAGCTTATGTCTGCCCCCCCCCCCCTCCAGAGCTGGGCCTGATGGGATATATTAGGGACAAAATCTCATATCCTGATACAAGTCATAAAATGTTGCCATAAACAGTGTATTTTGCGACACCATTTAATTAAACGATATAAAATACTATTTTTATTTCATCTTCCGATATTTATCATCATATCGCACTCCCTTAGTATATACCGTGTCACTGTAACTGCCATTGTCAGTGTTTCTGGTCTCACACAGTTTCTACACAGTAAGACCAGAACGTGAAATGATCACATGACCTGCACATGGTCAGGTCTCAACATACTAACTGACATGCTGATCAGCCCAGATTCACGTGCTCAAGGCAATGTCACCAGAGTTCACACTTCCAGCCTTTAAAGGCTGCTCCATCAGGGGGAGGCGATAATGTGAAATGACATGAGACCATCTGCAGGTCATGTGATCATTTCATGTTCATGTTCAGACTGTGAGATCAGGAACACTCTCTCTGTCCGTATCTCATGTCTTTGACTTCCTGCTTCCTTGCAGCTGAACGGCACGCCGGATGTTCCTGCGTCACAGCCTCTGTCGATGACATTTACTTTGAGCACACCATAGGGTAACGTTACCTCTCGCTTTCTGTGGTTGCCACAGATTTTAGGCCTAAATGAGCTGATGATTTAAGAATTGTGTCCCCCGTCTGATACACCAACTCGAGTGTCCAAATCACCAGCAAAGCAGTTAAATGGCTTTTGTGGTCCGGCAGGGTTGGACAGGTGGTTAACATCAAGGCAAAGGTCAACAGAGCCTTCAACTCCAGTATGGAGGTAAGGCCCGAATCAGCAGACTGGCAGGCAGCAATTCTCTCGCTCTGCTTCGCCAATGCCTGCTTTCTCTGCCTGCATCCACGCTGTTCGGTACTTGGGGTATTTCAGCTGCGTTTTCTCATGCGATAATGGCTCAGGTGGGGATCGTGGTCACCTGTGAGGACCTCTACAGCGACCTCCAGTGGAAGGTCTGCCAGGCCTATGCCACCTTTGTGGCCAGAGGCTCGGACATGGGGAAGGTGAGCTTGCATCACACCGTGCACTGTGACGGCGAGGTTCAGACGCCAGCCCCCATGTGACTGCGTCTGCGCAGGTGCAGCTGAAGCCCGTCAGCCTGCAGACACAGGAGGAGCAGCTGGAGCACAGCATCGCTTCCGAGCGAAGGAGGATGAGGCTGATCCATGCGGAGATCATGACTGACTTGCTCAGCAGCTGGCAGACGGGTGAGCCTCTGCAGGGAGGTGTGGACTTTCTGGGGCTTTCCGGCATGAGCGGGTAGTGGCCCACGCAGTGCGTCTGCCTTGCAGTGGAGGCGTGCCAGGAGCCGGAGAACGCAGTGGCGGCTGAGCGCACACGGGTGGAGAGCGTGGAGCTGGTGTTGCCCCCCCACGCCAACCACCAGGTCAACACCTTCGGGGGGCAGATCATGGCCTGGATGGTGAACGTGGCCACCATCGCGGCTAGGTGCTGCCTCTTTATTACCCCCTTGTTCATCCAGACCTGCTCATTTAGGCATAGGTTACCTCGGAAACTGCTCATCAACTACTGCTCCCCCTGCTGCCTGTCTTCTGTTGTATGCTGTCTTTCGTGATATTTGTGTTCTGAGACCGGAGTCCTCATTACTGTCACAGAGGAGGCCTTCTGGACTTCTAGAAGATACCTACAGAAGTCACATGACTGTTCTGTGATTATGTAAAATTAAAAAGTAACCCAGGGTTAGGGTTTCGTAGGGTTTCCTAACCCTTTTTACAGCAGTGTTACAGTGTAGACATTAATAAGTGTTCATTCATATTCTGATTTGAGATGCTCTGCCAGTTAAGGAGCTGTCATGTTCTTTGCAGCCGCCTGTGCAACGCCCACCCCACCCTACGCGCCATCGACATGTTCCACTTCCGGGGTCCGTCTCAGGTGGGAGATCGAGTTGTCTTGAAGGCCATTGTCAACAACACCTTCAAGAACAGGTGAAGCGACCCCGAATTCACTGTCTTTACTCATACCTAAAGGAGGCATCCCACGGTGAAAGAGTGTTTAGGACGGTACAGGTGTAGTTTGCTGTGAGATGCTGGGTAGTCTGTATTCCTCCCGACCTCAAGGTGGTGCTGCAGGTGATGGCTGGCACATCCTGTTGTGTTTCTGTGGTGACAGCATGGAGGTGGGTGTGTGCGCCGAGGCCTACTGTGGCAATGAGCCTCTGCGGCACATCAACAGCGCCATCATGATGTTCGAGGTCCTGGATAAGGAGAAGAAGCCCAGAAAGCTGCCACACATTCAACCCGAGCCTGTGGTAAGAACCGGAGAAGCAGAGCGAGAACATGCAGTTCTGCTTGTGGCAGGAAGGGAGCGATGCTGAGTATGATTTTCTGATCCTCTGGGATGTTCTTCTGTTTCAACCAGGATGGGAAACGCCGGTACCAGGAGGCTATTGCCAGGAAGAAGATCCGCCTGGACAGGTGAGCGACGGGGATCAAATGGAACACCAGCACTTCTCTAGAAGCTGGAGGACTTAATTTTTATTTTGTCCACATACCACTGTGGAACTTTTTTTAGAAAAAATTTCTAAAGTTGTTGCCTCAGAACACTCCATCTACTCTTGCTTGTCTGCTCAGCCCTGAGAGAGGTATTGGAGAAAGAGACCCTCAGACGGCAGAGAGATCTGTGATCAGTTGAGACCGTTTAGGTTTGGGATTGTGAAATCTGTCTATGCCCTCTTTAGGAGGTACATCATTTCCTGCAGGCAGACAGAGGTACCACTGTCTGTCCCCTGGGACCCCAGTAACCAGGTGTGTTTACCTGTCAAAGGACCACGCCCACTTCACTTAATGTGTCAAAGTCATTGTGTCTCAAGCAGCACTTATTAAGCTGGAAAATGGCTGAACTGAATTGACTGGCATTTCCTGGTGCTCTGATCTAATCTCAGGCACCATGAGAGCTGGCAGCCTGCACCTCATGCTGCCCATGTATCTGCTGGATCTTTGCAGGTCTACCTCAGCTATAACAACGTATCTGCGCTTAAGATGCTGACGGCCAGAAACAACTGGGTTCTGAACACTGAGAAGGACCAGGTGTGTTCCTCCAGACACTACACCCACCGCTCAGAATTTTTGTGACTGAAGCTGTGTGGCATGAACCCTAACCCCGCCCACTCTGCGCAGCCTGAACCCTAACCCCACCCACTCTGCGCAGCCTGAACCCTAACCCCGCCCACTCTGCGCAGCCTGAACCCTAACCCCGCCCACTCTGCGCAGCCTGAACCCTAACCCCGCCCACTCTTCCCCATGCTTAAAGGCCAGCTCATTCGGGACTCTGCTTCTGACTGTGCTGTGTCCTGCAGGTGAACCTCTACACTCTGGAGGAGAACCAGGTGCTCTGCTTCAGGGTGGAGACCACAGTAGATGTCCCAGCAGGCCGAGTCTTCCTGCTACTCTCAGACCTGAGCCGCAGGCCTGATTGGGACAGTCATTATAAGTAGGCAGAACCTTCCAGGGAACACCCACCAAAAGGCGCCACATTGCCTGACAGTTGTCTCCATTTCGGACTGATCCTTCAGAATGGTGATCCTGTATAATGCTGTTCACCGTGTCTCGTGCAGGCACTGCGAGCTGATCAACCAAGTGGACGAGGATGACGGCATCTACCATGTGATCACACCCTCAGTCAACAGAAGTAACAAAGTGCAGGACTTCATCCTGCTGGCATCCAGACGGCGGCCGTGTGACCCGGGGTGAGCACTGCGGCCTGTCCGCCGTCACAGCAGCTGTCTTACTGCTCCTGCTGACTGCTGGTTTTCTGGCCCCTCCAGGGACCCGTATGTTGTGGCCCTGCGCTCCGTTACCTTGCCCACTCACCCTCCCACTGAGGATTACACCCGGGGTGAGGTGTTCTGCGCGGGCTTCAGCATCTGGGAGGAGTCTGTCGGCAACACAAAGGTACCCGGCTCTCTCACCCGCTGCTGTGTGTGGGTTCCCTGGATGCCTGTGTGGGCTGTGATCTTCCATGTGCAGAATATTCAGCTCATGGTATCACTGAGGCAGAGCGCCACCAGTGGTCAAAAAAGTTAATACATATTCCAGCAGCTCTAGGCATTGCTGCCAAACATGAGGAGGTCTGATCTGCTCAACATGGGTCTGCATCACTAGTTAAATCCAGAGTTTCTCCTGCTTTTGCCCACTGTGGCCTGGTAAGCTCTGTACCCTAAATAGATGAGCAGTGTTTGGGAATTGGATGGATGGATGAACTGAAGCTGGCTTTCTTGTTACTCTTTTGACCTGAGGTCTGGTCCTTCTCCATTAGGTGTCCTACTACAACCAGGCCTCTGCAGGGGTGCTTCCCTACATCTCCACTGATATCGCAGGCCTGTCCTCCACCTTCTACCGCACCTTTTGCTCTTGCAAGAAGTTCCTGAAGGACAACAAGGATGGCTAGAAGGATGGCTACTCTGGGGGACCTGAATTTGCCCAGGGTGGCTCTGGCTCCCATGCCTTTGTCTCTGTATAAGGACACAGTCCCACATCTCCATCCTTGGCTGGAGTTCCTGGTTCTACTGACCGTTCACCTTGTTGATTTCCCAGAACATGTTCTGGTGGAACCAAAAGTGGTCCAATAAATTTTCATCAATCTGAAATGTGCTTTAGCATTTTGGGTAGCACTGTTAACGCCCACCTCCAGGTTCAGGAGCTCGAAGCCTGCTCCCCGTTTGGGGAGTTACCACACACCTCCAGGTTCAGGAGCTCGAAGCCTGCTCCCCGTTTGGGGAGTTACCACACACCTCCAGGTTCAGGAGCTCGAAGCC